CACAGTACTTCTGCTCACCTGCCACCCCTCCTCTGCTTTGATTTCCACTTCTGCACTGGCCAAGAACAGTGAAGCCAAGTACCAAGACCTTTACCCCTGGAAGTAACTGTCATGCTCTGAAACTTTACCAAAATACATTTCTAGGTCAAAGAGAGGCATGGCTAAAGGCATTTGTTTCTTCTTGTGAAGTTTTTGACCAGATTGTAAGTTAAGACATGCATGTTGTTTCAAGCCACTAGTTCTGTGTGATGATTTGCTACAGTAGCAACAGGAAGCCAAAACAATAACATGAACAACAATATGATGGACTTCGAGACATTAATTGATGGGAAAAATAAAAGGAATTTGTTTCAGGTTTGGTTCTCAAGACAGGGCATTGGGTCATGGTTCTGTGAATGGGTAGGGATGGAGAAAGGGATGGGGAAAAGCAGTTCATTGGGTGCTCTGCTTACAAATCAGCTTTGCACCACAAACTGTTGTAACGTTAAGAATTATGGGTCATACTTAACTCTGTACTCAGTATTTCTCCCCTACACCAGCCTCTCCAGTTTTTCTCTCCCCTTGTTCCTACCTTCACCTAGAATCAATGAAGATCTTAATTCTCTTCAAAGGATTGAACACTGGGGGGAAAAATCCATCTAGAAGGTGGTTGAGTGCAGCTCATTGGTTTATAACTAGTTAGAAATGCACTGCTATGCTTCTTCCCCACTCTTAGGGAGTTGGGCTCTGCATCCTGGTCAAGGGATAAGGGCCACGTCATATGCTGCAGGATGGTTTCCAGCCCTCAATTCTCAGCGGTCCTCAGGGGTGGGAGAAGCATGCTGCGTGCACATGGCTGTGGTTTTATCATCTTGCACTCATCACTATATTCGGGAAGATAGATTTCTATTATGCAACAAGACTGCTGCTTTAGGGTAAACTTTGACACAAAGCAAATGTGTTCTTGACTGAATCAGCTAAAACAAAAAATAATTGGGCAGAAAATAGGTCTGGGACAAATTTCATGTCTTCCTTTTAAAAACACCTACTTTCAGAGAAGCGTTTGGTTATGCAAATAGAACAAATGATGACCTTAAGGAACAAACCTGCCTTTCCCATGAAAGGCAAATAGTGAAAAGCATTTCACTTACCACTGAACTTACCAGTACTATGAAGTTCTCAACATTCCTTTTCTTACTGACCAGATGAGAATATAGCCATTATTCCCTCTGTATTTTAAGCATTTAGAAAATGTCAAACATTGTATAAAATACACATGATCCTAGGAATCCTACCAGCTTTAAGTTGAAGTGGAGTGTTGCTTAATGAGGTATCAGCACCGACAAACAGTTAGTACCTAAAATATGCAAAACTCAAGGAGATACAAAGGTAAGGGTTTGCATATAGCCCCAAACTATGCAATCCATCAGCATCCTGTAATTCAAGTCATCTGGAAAGGTCACCTGGTTTCTAGAGCTCATTAAGTGTGGTGGCTCTTCCTTTCAGTCAACAAATTTTCACTGATATGTTTCCTTGAGCCCATCACTCTCCTGAAGGATATTAGGCTCAAAGGACTGGTCCTTGCCCCCATGGTGGCCTTGCTTAGAAGCAAAACCAGTGTCATCTTGCAAGGTTAGCCTTTTATGTATGTGTCAAAACTATAGGCAAATAGCTGAGAAAAGAATAGATATGCAAATATGGAAGAGGTTACTGGTAAATGAAGGCTCTAGAAGTCTTTACAGATGAGAAGGGGCTTGAAATAGACCTTGAATAGTGTAGGATTTCCATGTGGGTCAATGATAGTGGGACAGAGGGAAAGAGTTATGTGTAAAGAAGATGGAAGGCATAAAGTATGTTTGGGAATAATAAAGAAATAATATACACTAGCACCCTCTGTGTTGGTGTTGGGAGGAAAGGAGATTATGGATATTTTGGCAAAGTAGGCTAACTGTGGTAATAAAGAACTAATGCCTCTGAGTGTTAATGCAGTATAATTTATTTCTTGCTCATTTGAAGTTTCACTACAGATACTTAGTTGGTGACTCAGAGAGGCAGGCTCTTTCCAGTGTTCTACAAAATTCTTGATGTTTCCTCCATTCAGCTGGCTATCCTATCTGTCCAGTAGAGAGAGAAAAATGAGAATGTGGAACATTGACATAAGAGATTTTTATGGATTAGGCCTAGAAGTGTGTTATATTATTTTCATCCACCTCTTGTTGGTCAGAAATGAGTCATAGGGCCACACCTAAATGCATGGGAGTCTGGGAAATGTAGTGTTGCTCTGTTTCTGAATTAAAAAGGAACAGATTTTAGTGAGCTCAGAGTCACTTCTACACTGACTTTTAGGTTGAACTTAATCCTGACTGCAGTGGTAAATCATCCTCCACTTTAGCATGGGGGCATGCTGATGGGTAATGTAAGTTCCATAAAAAGAGGGATTTTTATATGTTATATTCACTGCTGTATCTCCAGCATATGGTAGACCTTAAACAAATATTTGATCAAATAATGAAATGATGGATGGATGCTGTGTAGAAGTCCTGGACTTACTGAACCTTCCAGGAGGGTTTAGTGGAAGTGAATTGAGTCAAAAAGTCAATTAGAAAGTGATTGTGATAATCTTATAGAACCGGAGTTAGTGCAGTTACAGTAGGAATTCGAACTCTTTGAGAAACAGAAACGTTTACTTCTGCTATTTTAACTTTTTTAGTTTACAGCATAGCCACAGCTTATAGTTCAACCAGAGTCCCTGCTGAGTTGAAATCATAGAAGCAGGTTGTGGGCCGAAAGGGCCTGGGCCTTTCTTTGGAGGTACTAATTGGAATGCAGCCTCGGGACTTGGGCTATGCCACAGTGCTGCAGCCCAAACAAAATAAAACTTCACTAAACCAGCAAACCCGGATTGGAGGTCAAGTTACTTTAACGGACTCTTGGGAAACACAAACTGCTGTTGTATTATGTATGCAAAATTCGCTCTTTGACCTTATTGTAAGGAAAATTACCAGGGTACACACAAGCTCTTGCCAGCTTTCCAAAGTGTTGGACAAGTTAACTCCTATGCAATTATGCAATATTTTTTTAAATTTTAATTTTAAAATATGCTTAAAAAAATAGATGCTGATCCAACAAGAACAGAGAATATCGATGAAAAGAATACGTTGTCTGTGCACCTAAGAGAAGCCAACACACAGGCAACCTGGGGGGGCCTGAGGCTTCAGGGTTTTAGGAGGTTGCTTGCCCATGAATTTCTTTGAAATGAAGAGCTAAGGGCAGCATTTTGTCCTCCCTCTAGATTTGACATTTGCAGTTTATGTATAAGCTGGGGCGGGCCTCAGAGCCTGACCTAAACTCAGGTTATGGGCCTCTGGGGTCTGGTGAAAGGCCAGACTTTAGGATTATGCAGAGTTAAGTGAGGAACCTCACAGAGAATAGCCAGGGATTCTTAGGAGATTTTTCAGTGATTCTTGCTGATCTGGAAATAATGTAAAAACAACAGAAGAGCTTTTTGCGGTATTTTCGCATGTTCTCTATTGGTTTGGGGAAGAATCCAACCTGAAAGTGGCTTAAAAATAATAAATATTTAAAAAGACATAATGTGCCCTACTCTTTTTGCCCATCCCTGCCAAAAAATAAACTATAATAGTAATAAAAATGGCAAGAACAGGAAGGGAAAGTAGAAACAACAGGCGACAGCAGTGTGCTAGGATGGGAATCAATGTGATCCAGACGGCTAACGTCTGGTGTTACTGAAAGTGGTGGAGGTGTGAGGAAATGCCATTAGAGAATCTTTCGCTTTTGAGGCCCAAGACTCTGAGGCGTGAGTTCATTTCCTGAGGCCTCTTGAGATATAAATCACTGGCTTGAGATGTTTACCTGAGGGTCTACTGGTTTATTTTCTAGCTCAAATCCCAGCAAAGCCAACCCATTGAAATTCCATTTGCTTAGTGACCAAATTTACTGATGTTCTAAAAAAACAAAAAAATATTCATAAGTTTGATAGCAACTCATATTGCATAGTTTTGCATGAGGATAATTTTTGCATGAGCCTTGCAAAATTGTTGGATGTAAATTAACTGGAAAGTACTTTTTTTCTTCTCTGCCCCAGCTTTCTGAAGATTGAGTTACAAATTGCTAAGGCTGGAAACAACAGGCGTCTCTGCTGAGGGATAGGGGAGGGGGAGCCAGTGTATTGCATCTCTGCATCCTAGGGAGGAGAGGGCTACTGATGGGCAGAGGAAGGGGAGAGTGCTGACACAGTGCAGGAAGGAATGGGTGTCAGAGGCAATGGGTGCTAGAGGGCAGAGAGGAGCAGGAAAGAGGGGCAGGGAAAAGTCTGAAGGCCCTAGAACTTCTCACATAGGCCGTGGGACTCTGCTAGTCCTTTCAACGTCATTCATACACTTTCTACACAGTGAAGAAACAGGTCTGGTTAGCTTGGTGAATTCAGTGGAATGTTTCTGAACATATGTTTTCATTGTATCCATTTCCAAAAGATTGGCTGCTTCCTCAAATCCGAATGTTGAGCCATCCTAGCAACACCTTTAAGCTGGGATGGAAAGGGAAGCCTTCCTGAAGGGAGATATCTGAAGAACCCATAGGTAGTTAGGGGTCTGGAAGAGGAGGAAAAGTCTCATAAAACCTAAAGGGTTCCTATGCTTGGAGGCTGGAAAGAGACCAGCCTGTCTTGGTTTGCTGGAGACTTCCTGGTTCTCGTATTGACAGCCTCAAATCTCAGGTGAACTGAGACGGTTGGCTAGTCTCTAGGAGGAAAAAGCTAAGTGTGGTGGTAGCTGGAGAGAGGGGGTGCTGTAGTCATCTCTTTATGGGCAGTCTTTCTGCAGGTACAATTTATAGGCCTACAGAGAAGAGTAAAAGATGCTTGGGAGAAATTACATGGATCGAGCAGTCACTCCAGGGACCTAATACCAGGGAAGGCCCTAGGTATGTCCCAGATACCTCGATTATACAACATATGTGCACTTACTTTTCTAAATGTACTTTTCTCTTTCTCTTTTCTTCAGGGAGGCAGGACACAGTGCATGAGAGAAGTCTGCCCCATTCTCTCCTGTCCTCAGCACCTTAGCCACATTCCCCCAGGACAGTGCTGCCCCAGATGTTTCGGTGAGTGACTGTTCAGGTCAAAGAACAATGGAATTCACTTTCAGAATTTCTGCTGAGAGTCTTCAACCACACCGTTACCTTGAGGTGCTCAGGTTGTCCTATCTCACGGCTTGTTAGACGACCGCTGCTTCCGAGCACAAGAGTACAAAGCGTGCAAGGGGTTTCTCTCTTTCCTGAGGCCTCCAGAGACTTCTACTTTCTTGTCTTCTCTTGTGTTTGTAAACCTGGTATACCAGACAATCACAGATAATCCCCCAATGGGGAGAACAATAGTGAGGAAACTATCTTTAATCGGGCACATGGTGATTTGGAGGAAATGTATTTTAAAAGCATGTGAAATAAACATAAGGAGGAATATAGATTAGTGTTACTTTCAGAGGCAAAAGCATGCAAGAGGGTCACATGCCAAAGATGAGAGGTTTGAAAGGGAAAAATAAATCGCCAGCAGAAAAGGAGGATTAGTTATTTTTTATTGAGTATTTACTATGTATTAAGCACCATGCAAAGATTGTATGCTTTTCCTCATTTTATTTTCTTAAGATGCTGTGATATATAGGTGCTAAATATGTAATTCTCATGTGTAACATAGGTGCTTTTATTGGTTTTTTTGTCCTGAGAGGGAAGTAGATTCCTAGAAGGAGGCACAGCTAGTGAGTTATGGAGTTGACACCTGAACACAAGTCTCTTTGATTCCGAAGCCTACGCTTTCACCTGCTGCAGCTCAGCTCCACCAGTGACATGGAGAGCAGTGTGCACATTGCCAACGGAAAGGAGACAGCCAATGGTAGAGGCTCTGTAGAGCAAGAGCCTTTGCTTTTTGTATAAGCCATATGTCATCTTCTTCCATATGACCTTTAGGTTCTTAAGTTAGTTGAGGTGAGACTAGTAAGATTCAAACAAAACTAGCCTGACCCATCAAATGAATACAATAGCACACCCAGAAGCCCCCCTGGAATCTGTAGGGAGCCAAGGTTTTCCCGTCACCCCTGGCTTGGTGTTACTGCTCCTCTTGTTTCTGTCTTTGCTCCCTTCCTCTTCCCCCTCTTTCCCTTCCTCCCCTCTGCACCCTCACTCTTCTTCAGCATCCTTTGGGCATTTCAGGACACTTCCCCTGTGGTCTCTTCCACTTCTGTGGTGCTGTCATATCAGGGCCTGTGTGGCAGGCCTTACTGAAGGTTTGCAGTCAGTGAGGGTGATTACAGCGCAGCTCGCTGAACAACCCCAAGTGGAATATTTAGCTCCCTTTGTTCTTCATAGGTCTTAGCTGTTTTGCCTTGTGGAAAGTGTCATTGTATGAAACACATGTAGATAAAACTAGGGAGAAGGCAAACCAGTTGATCACAATTTAAAAAAATTGCTCAGTTAAAGCAAAGCTACTTTTAATTTTTAAAAGACTGGAATATGTCTCTGATGGATTAATATAGAGGATAGTATTTAAAGCAGTGAAAAATGATTTCAGCATCATTTTTGTAGTAAATATGAAGGAAAATATGCATAGGGATGTTTCTTATGCCAGAATGTCCTAACACCCAGGCGAGATGTGACCAAGGTGATTCTGATTGGGCGGGTGGCCTGCACACAACTTTCTGATGCTTTAGGGTAAGGGTAGGGGGGGTTCCTAGAAGAAAATCTAGAGAAAGGATGAATTTTGTATTTTGGAGGCAATCCCCTAATTTAGTCTATAAATTCTCACAAACTTCAAGAGCCTCAGGACTAGGGTGCACACAGAAGAATGCCTGTCTTAGTTGGGGTATTAATACTTGCTAAGTGCAAATATAGTCATTATGCTTAATTTTGTTTTAACCATGAAAGAGTTTTGGTTGTATGGTTTAATAGCAACATTGGAGACCAAGATAGTGATATGTCACTGGGAAGAGGTATTATTGATACCTTTTTATGAGTGAACTAAGTGAGGCCCTGAGAAATCATATTCAAGGTCATCAGGAGGCCCTATGTGGGACCCAAGTTACAACTCACTGCCATTTTTGAGAGCAAGGTCTCAACTAACGATTCAATTCTGCATCTACACTGTATCTAACCCTTGAGCTTGGCTCTGATGGGATGACAGCATTTTTGCTGACTTCCAACTAACAGTAATTCTATTAACAATCCATTCCACTAACCATTCTAATTCTGAGAATAACATTTAGTCTGTGTTTCTAGGGATTTTCAGCATGTCATTGGACCTCTTGATAGAGATTGCTCTTAATCTTTTTATAAGAATAAAGAGGGTAGATGAAAATCTGATGAATGACCATGAACCTTTGACTTCTTTTCTCAGCCCTTAAGTAAAGTAACATTTCAGGGATGTTTTTATGTGCTGCAGGGAGTAGAAACTCAAATACTGAAAGAAGGGAGGAAACTGGATTGTACTCTTCTGGGGGTTGCTTCTTTGGCCCTTTCAGTCACCAGATTCTCACATCAGGGTAAACCAAGCTAACTCCACAGAGATGGGATGCCTGTGAGGCGCTGCCCTCTGTCTCGGTGCACTCTGAGTCAGCGTCATCCGTATGCCATGGACTTGTGGTGGCTTCAACAGAGATGCTATGTCATTCGTTCTTTTTGCTCATTCTAATCCTTCTTGGGATATCTTGACTCCTCCTGTCTCCTCCCTGCTAATACGGCTTTTGGACAATTTCACTGGTTTTTTAAGCTGCAACTCAGGTAACATATCCTCTCAGAGTGTTCTCTGCCCTCCCTGACCCCACAGTTCTGAGATTGGCTTCTTTCCTGAGTTTACCATATTGTTGTACTGAAATCATCTTTTGTGGGCTTGTCTCCCCAGTAGGCTATGAGCTCCATGAGGGCAGGTCTGTCTCATAGCCACCTTGATTCACTATGATGGACATGTAATAGAGATTTGAACTGAACACTTTTTTAACAAAAACTGTCTAACAAAATTAATGACTCCTGGGGATCCCCTGGGAACAACTGACCCAAGCCTCTGTTTTTGTGCATCAGGTTTACCTGGCCTTGTGAGAATGTTTAACAATTCTGTGATATCATTGCTGATGACAGAGTGGGACATCCTGGCTTCTATCTTCTTTATAGTATACCATTGCTTCCCTCTAGGTCAGAGGAAAGTGTTTGACCTCCCGTTTGGAAGTTGCCTCTTCCGCAGTGATGTTTATGACAACGGATCCTCATTTCTCTATGATAACTGCACCACATGCACCTGCAGGGTAAGGTGGTTCTGAGGGGCCCTGGTCCAACTAGGGTAGCTTTTTGGATCTTAGTGTTGACATTATAGCCCAACATGGTAATGTATGATTTATTGGAAAGAGGTATTACTGATGCCCTTTCACATGAGAAATCATGCTCAAGGCTGCAAGGAAGGTCAAACATAGGATCTAAGTTACAATTTGCCATCATCTTCCAGGGACCAATAAATTGGCTCTGGGTGGTGAGAACTAAACTCTGACAGGATGACCTGAGGCTCTTTTTAAAATCAGACAAATACACATGGCAGTGATCTCTGGCTCTAATTATCCAAGATGAATTCTCTGACATATTTGGCAATAAAAATGGCTTTAATCATATTCAAGAGGAAAGAAAGGCATGGATTTGCAGCTCATCACAAAGACAAACCTGGTAGTTTAGTAAGAGAGTATTTATATGTTGCTCATTGTACCGTCTCTTACTTGAGGCATTGCTGACTTTTCTCAGGGGCAACCAGAGGTCTAATGACTGGTCCAGAAAGAATTCCACAGTTCCAGAATTCTAAATGCATGCACATCACATATTCATAGACTGTTTATGCAGTGATTTAATTCTGAAACTCAGAAGAGAATCGTTTATACGTAAGACTTGAAGATCATTCATTAGTGAGTTAACCCAAACATCTGTGTGACACGAGTTTAGAGTAATTCACTTTGGCGGTGATGGTTTTTGTTTTGTTTTTATAGCTAAAGGGCTAGAGAGGGAAAGAGAACAAGCTTGCTCAATGTCAGCTATGAGTCAGTAGCTGGGATTAGGGTTCCGAAGTTCCTGATGACTTGAGTCAGGCTTTGTTAAGTAGCATGGACAGCTCAGGGAGGTGGCCGGGTAAGGGCTGAACTGCCTGTTCCCTGGCCCTGAGCACCCAGTAATTCCCAAGCCTGAGAATACTTTCCTAAGGCTCCTTCCTCTCTTCAGCGGTTTCTCTTAGCCTATGCCAAACACACAGCCACTCCTTCTGTGTGCCTCGGCCTCCATCCTCAGGACTTCCATTCCTGAAGTTTAGAGCACAGGTTAGAGCTTCCTCTTGGGGATGCTGAGCCTACAGTGAAATGCATCACATTCCCACTTGTCTTGATTGCAGGAGAGCCAGGCACCTTGTGAATGGGAACTGCTCATGCTTGCAGTGCTTTGGGTTCATAAAATCTTTGGGAGACTCCTAGGTGATATATCCCAGTGCTCAAAAGAAGGGTAATTCATACTGGTCCTTCAGGAGCCTGTTTTATCAGAGTGTGAGTTCACTGTCATCTTTGGGAACCTGAATGCTTGAGGAATCAGGCTGCAGTCACTTTGGGTGGTCGGCACTCTTTTCTGTCTGAGAGCTTCCCTCTCTGGCACCCCCATCCTGTACCATGGCAGGTGCGGGAAACTGCTGAACAGTTCTCTGAACGCAGTATGGCTGCAGGTCTGGGTGTCTTCAGGCTTGATGCTTCCTCTACCTGCAGTGTCCTCATCTATAATTTGATGAGCAAACTCCTCTTCATCCACTATAGCCTATTTCATATGTCACCCCAGCCCACCTACATAGATAATTATCCCTTTTCCTCTTCTACCTCTGTACCTTTACTAGTCTGTTTACCACATTAATACTCCAATTTATTTGTTCATGTGGTTCTCTCTCCTCTTACTTTGTGAGCTTCTTGAAGCCAGAGGCATATCCATCCATCTCGGTTGTCCCATTGTATAACCTAGTGCCAGATCCATGATCTGATGTGTGCCCTGTGTGTGTGCGCATATGTATGTGTGTATGTGTATGTGTATTTAATGAAAGTTGGTAAATCTATGGTGAAGTATACCTTTTTTGAGAGCTAGTGAGTGCCCTTGTTTCTCAAACTAGAAATGAAGACATGCATTTTGACAAAGGATTTTTTTCTAATTTATGAGTTAACATTAAAGTTTCTATGAACCAAGTACTTTACATATTTCATTTAAACTGCACAATAAGCCCAAAAGGTGGGTATTATCATCTCCATTATGAAGATGATGAGTCTGAGGCTCTGGGAGATGGATTTGCACAAAATAGCATACTAATTAGTGAACTGGCATTCTACCCTGGCCATGTCCAGCTCTGAACCCTGTCTACTCATGTGATGTGATTAGAATCTTAAAATTGAAGGCAACAAATGCCATTTTTTGAAGGATAATGTCTTTGTCCTATTAATATTAGATGGATAAGTCAGTGGGAGTATGGTCAATGGGAGCAGAAGTACCTTTTGAAGTCATAGAATTTACACTGAAGCTATAAAAGTTACATAAGTTGATTTACACAACCTATCTGTATGGAATACTCAGAAATGAGTCCATCCTCAATGCTTACTAATTAGGCCTTTGTCTTGAAGAGGGCTGTGCTCTCATTTCCCTCCCACTGGTCTCATACTAATGCAACACTTTGAGGGGCTTGCTGATTCACCCTGGGCCACTTCTTTTCTCTCATCCATGTCTTCCACTAAGTTTCATAAATGTTTTGCTTTTACAGTCATTCCAGCTGACAACCTATTTGAGGTGAAATTGCATCTTGTTGGCTAGAGAGCTACAGAAATTAATTTTTCTTAAACTGCTCTGAACTTTTCTCAGTGTATTGTTGAGTTAATCAGTAGGCATAATTTGCTTGCTGTTTTGTTTGTGGAATGCCATGTCTTTAGAAATGAAACCTTGCCCCTACCCCTTTAGGTTACAGATATAAACTTGTCACCCTCAGAGATTAAGTGGCCTGATTAAGGTCACATGGTTTATGGAAGAGCCCTAGAATCCAGGTTCAGTTTTGAAATGCTCGTTCAGTTCCTTTGTGAACACAGAACATAATAAGGAATTTCATCTTGAGGTGGAAAATTATTAGCTCTTAATTTTTACTCTTTGATGGATGATATCCTGCCTTTACGCTAAATTCTTAGAAGGTGGCATAAAGCCATGTAACAGACCCAAGAGGGCACCATTAATGAAGGATGCAAAGGAAGAAAAAGGCAGGCAGAAGGAAACTGGTTGGCTTGTCATGAGCTGGGCCTTCTTGCCACCTGCTGGCTGGAGCAAAATCATCAGTCTCTCGAGCATTAAATTATAAACTCTTGGAATGGGGTGAGGAGGGCATGTCACACTGTTCATAGCTTTCTGATCTTCTAGTCCAGATATTTAATCAACAAATAACGTTTTGAAGTAAATGAAAGATTTATTGCAACAAATTAAAATGTAGTATCTTCCAAATAGGTTTTAAAGCAGATGGTTGTGGGGCCTTAAGGGAAGGCCAGGTAGGAAGTTTGGTAGACGTAGAAATAAGTTTTAATTTCTGCTTTGCCTTTGGGCCCCCAGGACTCTACAGTAGTATGTAAGAAGAAGTGTTCCCACCCCAGTGGCTGTGACAAAGGCCAGGAGGCCTGTTGTGAGGAGTGCCTCCTTCGAGTGCCCCCAGACGACATCAAAGTATGCAAGTTTGGCAACAAGATTTTCCGGGTATGTCATGAACCAAGCTCATGGGAACTACCCTGCTGTACTGAACTGTAAACAGCTCCACACAAAAGGCAGATTGGAGTATTCCATGTTTTATATATACATATACATACAAGTGTATGTATACTTATCTCTACTATACTATTATGTATACATATATATATTCAGAATCAAGTACACATAGGAACAGAGAAACAACTGTTTGAAAAATGTTTTTATTTGGCTTTAATTTTGCTTTATAAAATATTTCAAACCTATAAGACACAATCACCTTTTCCAAATGCAGTTGACTAGTGCCTGGGGTTGAGCTGTGGCTGCCTCCCACCTTCCCATCCCCCACCGCCCATCCCAGACCATGCAGTTACAGGTGCTTGAATGCCAAGGAGCTTCATGCTCAGAGGTGCTCAGTGCCCCTTGACAAGCAAGATCCTGATGGTTCTATAGCTTGATCATTTTAGAAGTTTTTCACAAAGCTGATTTTTCAAAGAGATTTTCTCTATTGGCGGATGGTCAAGTATGGGCATTCATGGCATATGTTGCTGGCAGAGCAGCTAAGCAAAGGGGAGAGCCTAGCCCCATCTGGGCCAGCAGAGTTTTCTCCTGGGCATCTACTACCATCTCAGGCGTGTTTATATTATATTCTGATGGCTGCATTGGGAGGCTGTGCAGTGACCATTTAAATGTCAGGGTGGACCTTGTTCAAAGTGCGTCCCATTTAGTCTATTTTCCCCAGGATGAAGGTGTCATCTTATGACACCCATGAAAACTGAAACCCTCACAATAAAGTCAGATGTGGAAGCACTTCAGTCTGCACTTAGCCCAACTTCCTGTGACATTGACAGAGTTGGGGGGAGAGGCTTGGTTCTTATGGAGTCAGTAAGAAGCCAGGATGTGTCACGCCCAAGGGCAGGGGGTTGTGTGTGTGTGCTGTAGTTATACCAGGATTTCAGAACCCTTCCTATGTCCTTTCACAAGTCAACCTCTGTCTCCAGAGCTCCCAGATGCAACACACCTGCTCTCCTGATGGTGCTGGGTGCAAAGTGCTTTCAAAGCTCCTTGTGAGAAGATTCCTTAATGTGATGAGGCCTAAAATAATTCACAGGGGGTCATTCTTGAAACACTGAGACCTAGAAATGTGCACTCAGAGAATTTGGAATAGTCAGACATCCTTTAAGAGATTCAGTTAGGTCTTTCTCTCCTGAGAAATAAAAGGCACTAGAGAATAGGTAGTCCTTAAAATAGTTTCAGAAAATGAGAAGGAAGAGGAAACAGAGCTGTCATCATCAAAGACTGAAGCTAGTTTTTATGTTTTTTTAACAAAGTCTGCTGCTTAGATCCCTAAGTCTGGGAAAGAATCCTTGTTTCATTTTCAGGCTCAACTCTCTTGCCTGCAATCTCTTTTCCCACAGGCAAGGACTTAGATTTCTGCATGTTCTCCAGAGGTACAGGGCTTCTTGTGGCCAGGCATTGGACAGTTGTAGGTTATAAACCCTGAGCCAAAGAAATTCCTCCAACAGCCCTTTTGGGGCTAGAAAATGTGTCCCAAAGTGCTACCCAGCTTTTTGGGAGGAGAGTATCAGACAGACAGCAGTGTGGTCTGAATGGCCCTTGAAGTACTCTGTCTGGCTTCCACAGTTGCAGATGGCTTGCTGATCAGGTGTCTGCCTGGGGAGTGGGAGTTAGTTGAATTAGCCTGTTTTTTGCATGTTTGTGACTGGTGTGGTCTAGAACCATGTCACATCTGGGAATAAACTAATAACCCATGGACATCTCAATTAACTGCTGGTGCCTGAGACAGCTTAAACATTTCAGTCCTAACAAACAGGAAAAGTGGACCTTTGTTTTTACATCATGAATGAAAACTCATGTTTGTCTCACAGGGTGAAACTAAGTGAACAATGCAGGAAAAGCAAGACACAAATATGACTTGGTTAGACACTCGAGAGTTCTTTCTATATCCTGGAGAGGGAACACTCATACACACCACACATAACCCCCTCAAATCTAATCCTGATTAGATCAGTTAGGTGCAGATAGGCAGCACCTCAGAGTAAGAAATGCTTTTCTTGACAAGGAAATCCCAGCCTTTTGGATTAGCTCCTGACAGCCTCCAGCTGATAGCAGAATCCTGTGCTCTCTCCTTCAGGATGGAGAGATGTGGTCCTCTGTTAACTGCACCATCTGTGCTTGTGTGAAAGGCAAGATGGAGTGCCGCAAGAAGCAGTGCATTCCCATCAGCAGCTGCCCTCAGGTACGTTTGCAATGCGGGCTGGCTTTCTCTCTACTTTAACATCTTGGGAAGCATCTGGTGTGTGGCATGGTCTTCTGAATACAGAATCCAGATCTCCCCCAACTTTCAAGCTCCTAAATAGCCACGTGCCCCTTGCCAAGCCCCTTCTTTTATGCCACTCCTACCCAGATGATAGCTTGGCGAGAACAGCTCTCACCTTGTGCTTGTCCCACTTCTCCTGTTCCCTATTGACTCTCCCACTTCTTCAGTTTGACATCTCCACCTCCTGCTAGATCTGTGCCCTTGTTTCTTTTTGCCAGATTTTCTGCTGAACATCATCACCGTCCTTTGTGTTTTCCTCCTTTCTCTCTCATCTTTCTCTCTTCTCTCAAAGTTTTCTTCCGTTATTCATTCAAAGAAATATGTGGTCATTTATTAATAAATTCTCCAAGGGGTTCCCCAACCCCTTTACTGAAGTTTTCCCTTTTTAACCCTGGCCTCCATTGTAGCCCCAAATGGAAATAGCACCCTTATGGAAATATCTCCTTTCAGAAGCCCCCAGTTCCAGCACACTGAATAAAGTAACCATTATCTTCTGAAGCATGAGCTTCATTGGATTCACCTCAGCAACTTGAAACCTTTTAAGGTTTTATGCATTTTGGGA